GTGTGTGTGTGTGTGTGTGTGTGTGTGTGTGTGTGTGTGTGTGTGTTGGAAACAGGTGAACTCACCTGAACACGTCAGCTGTCCCCCGGCAGTGACGTGAAACTGTCCGCCATCTTGTTCCTCCTGCCCTGAAGGAGGCGCTACAGGAAACATTAAGCCGAACATGTACACACGTTTAATTAATCATCACGTGTTTGGGTTAAACAGCTGTTTGATTGACACCACGTGACGAACACTCAAAGAATTATGTCACAATTAAACTGATCAATAATATTCACCAAACGAACTGAAGCTTCTTTAATTTAAAACGAATTAATTATTTAATTTGAACACAAGCTTCTCACATCGCTTCCTGCTGATTGTTATTCCTCTTATATTAACTTTTCTAGTTTTGCTGTTTTAAAAAGATATAAATACAGTTTACTTTAATATTAGTATGTAGAGACTCCGTCACTGTTGCAGGCTTATGAAGAACAACAACAACATCTGTGAGAAATCCCAGAATAAATCTTATAGTTTAATTTACACTTAATATCCTTATTTCTAGTCACAACATGTTGAATGAGTAGAAATGAACACGTCTCAGTTTGAACAGGTCGCTCCTCCTGCTCTCTCCTCTCGTCTCGTCCTCCTGCTCTCTCCTCTCGTCTGTCCCCCGCGAGTGCAATGCATGATGGTATATATTGCTCAGTGAGTGACCTCGGTTTGACACTACTTTTCACAATGCATTGTGGGAAACACTGAGTGCACTATATAAGGTATAAAATATATTACACAATGGTGAATTTACCATATAGAGATTAGTGAGAGACACAGTTGTTCTTCTAAAGTCAATGACATCAGCAGCTCCTAATTTATCCAATAATATTTTCACCTCATTCAAAAGCTTTATCATCAAGGACGTCTGATTGGGACTTAATTACCCATAATGCCTGTGGTTGATGATAAATCTTTCCGTTGTTCACCTCTCGTAAAACAGTAGTTCAGACTGTTCAGAAACACAATCAGACATGGATTTGAACTTTAAGCAGTTTGATGCCGCACCGTGTTTCCACCGCGCACACTCACAGGTTTACAGACCTGCCGATTAAACACAACATGACGACCAGTCGCTGCGGCTTCGGATAAGAAACGGTGTCTAACAGTGAAATCACCACAGCAGCTGCAACATGGTGTGTAGAAATATTTACATTTTATTTAGAATCTTTTCAACAAAGGTTTCAAACCAACACTGGCTGTTTCTACCGCGTTGGACAGGAAGCAGCGCTGAGACAAACCAGAAGCTTTGACAGACAGTGATGTCACAACAGTGATCTCAACATGGAACAGACGTGTAGAGCTGTCGTCAGGTTTCATAGGACGACAGAAAAGAGAGACGGCACAGAGTGGTTAAGGTACAACTGGAAATAATTATTTTAATTGATTAATCAGAAAAAATATTCAGCAGATGAACGGATAAGAAATCTCAACTCAAGGTCGACTCCCTCACTTTGCCACAGATGAGGGGAAATCTGCTGAGTTACTGTGGATCTACAAACACGACTTCTGAGACACTGAACCCGAGCAGACAGAAGTCCTGCAGCACTCCGCTGCAGAACCGTCACCTGGACGCAGCTCTCAGGTCAAACACCAGCGATTAAGACTAAATCCTCTTTCTGCAGATTCCAGTGCACAAAGAGCTGAACTCTCTTCTTAAGACAGCTCATGATTAATGTTTGTGTTCCTCCACGTGGCCGTCCTGTTAACAGTCTTATATAAAACGATCCAGCTGCTGATGAAGAACCTGATCCGGTCAAAAGAGCAAATGGAGGAGGTGGATCCTTGAGTTGAGATCATTGTTTACAAAGTGAAGAATGAAAAAATTTTAGTTTCATCATCACAACATGTTTAAAAGACGTTTTCAGATTCCTGCTGGGGACGATTTGAAGATTTTCAATTTTTCATGATGTGAAAATAAAAAAGCATTGGAGAAGCTGAGATGATTCATCATCATCAAAATCTGCAGATGATGAATCTTCTCCAAACGACTGAATGTAAGTGATTTATCAGCGGACAGTTTGAAAGATGTGCAGGTTTGATAAATGATCCTGACTGACTGACAGGGATCAGACCACAGAGACAGAACCTGAAGACGAGAAGTCACTTCTCTCTTGGATGTATAAATAAATAGAGGAGCTTTGACATGTGACCAGGATACGAGATCTAAAAGAGTCTTGGCGTTCGATCCACAGTTACAAACCAAAAGGTTTCAAAGTGTTGCTTTAAAAAATGCTGTGTCATAATAAGAGTATAAAAATACATAACTATGCACGACAGGAACTATTAAAAGAGTCTTTGTGAATACTGCAAGCTCCACACAGCGCGTGATGTGTGGCGGAGACGTGTGGTCAGTGACATTCCCCCGGGCACGAGGAGCTGAAGGCAGCGCCGCAGGAACACAACATCTGTAACAGCAGTAGTGGCATTTTACACTGCGAGTGACACAGAGAGTTCAGATGGCGCAGTCTTCCTGAGCGGCAGGGCTGAAGGCGGAGCTCCGCAGGGCGTCCAGGCAGTTGACCAGGATGAGCGTGCCCGTCAGGTGCTTCCAGCGTTTGGTGATGGGGTTCTTCATCTTGTCCAGGCCCATGTGCAGCTCCTGGATCACGTCCCTGTAGCTGTCGCCGATCTGAGCCGCCCACGTGACCAGGAAGTCGTACGCCGGCTTCCACATGGCCTGCGGACAGAGAGAGAGAGAGGAGTCACATGACAGACTTCAAACATCAATCAACCGTAAATACAGTGAAACTGTTCTTTTACATCCTTTAAGAAGAATCTTTTAATGTCATTTTAAAACGGATTCACTTTGAAAACACAAACACGTCCGTACAACTCAAAGTCAATGATCGGTAATCTCCACACCTCACTGTCCACCACCCCGTTCTTGTCACGGTGCGGCGCCTCGTACGCGTCCATCTGCTGACGCGAGACCTTAGCGAGCCTCTCGGCCAACTCCCTCCAGCGCCCGGCCAGCTCCACGGCCGTGGTCAGAAGAACAAAGTCCATGACGAGTCGAGCCACAAGACCCTGACAGTCCATCTTCAACAGAGCCTGCGGAGAAGAGAGCAGAAGTTCAGCCTGAACCGATGGAGGCAGGTGGAGGTTTGGATTCAGGAGACATGAGCTCGTAACCAGAATATGCTCATTAAATTCATTTTGACTGTCCAGTGGTTTGATTTTATCATAAACTCAGAAATGTTCTCTGAGTATGAACAGAGTCAGAGGCTGAGGTCACACACGACAAAGAGACCAACAAACATCTCCAGGTTTCATTCCAAGGACTTGATCCGCTGTTATTTTCCACCGTTTCCAATCCCTCTGCAAATCTCAGCTTTGTGCATTTTTCAGATGCTTTCTGGTGGAAACAGAAATAAGAGCCTCGTGCTGCTTCACCAGCAGCCGACAGAATTTATCTCACTTCTGAAGTGACGGCAGGAAAATACTCGCTAGACAAAACAGAGCAGAAGACTGAGGAGTGGTACGAGACGCAGCCAGAGCGCGATTCAACGAGATTAAAGCTGAGAACATCACTCAGAGGCAACAGGTGGAGAACAGCAGGGGGCGTCAGAGAGCGCGTCAGTGTCACTATGAATAAAAACTGTTGGACACGTTTGGACACGTGAACATCGTCTCCGTCCTCAGACTCTGACGCGCAGATCTAAATGAAGATAAATGCTAAAATGTCACAGCGGCTCCTGTTTGTTTGGGTTTAACCAGCTTGGACAGGAGCCAGACTTTTCCCATCAGCCCCTCTGTCTCCACCAGTTCTGTGGGAAAATAAAACTCTGCAGAGACTCTGATCGTACGATCTGCAGCACGTCAGAGGGGAATTTGCAAATACAAATGTGGAACATGCAAATGAAAGTTCACAGATGGATACGCATCTCACACACACACACACACACAGACACACACAGACACACACACACACACAGACACACACAGACACACACACACACACAGACACACACACACACACACACACACACACACACACACACACACAGAGCGAAGCTGAACTTAAATCTCTTCACTCTCACGTGTAGGAATGTGTGGAGCGACAGGATATGATTGGGGGTGAGGATGGGGGGGGGTGAGGATGGGAGGGGGTGAGGAATGCAGATGTCATGCTCCAGCAGCCTCTCTCACTCTGACAGGAGACCAGAGGACGCAGAAGTGGACCGCGGCTCTGGACCAATCAGACGCCTGCTGATGCCACATGACCTCCGTCAGTTCACTTTTGCGTTTCCTCTTCGACTCTGAGGACGTTTGTTTGTTTATGTGACTGTCGGAGATAAACTCAGTGACACAACCTGCTTCCTCACTGGATAATAACCACAGGAAGTCCCCGCCACAACCCCGACATCACTTCCTGTCTGGGTCGGACAGGATAGCTGCTGGGTAACAATAGCGTCTTGTGTTTTCGTAGGACAAGGTTAAGTGGGACTGACGGTGTCAAACAAACATCTTGACACAAGATAAACATGAACTAGGCGTCTTCATGGTTACAACACAACCTAAGTATAAAATGACGGACAACGCTACATCTTTCCATGCAAGGCATGATGGGAAAAATGTCCCTGAAAAGAAAAAGGCTCTGCACTCTCTCTTCTTGGCTCCTCTCACGGGTTGGAAACTTTCTGGCTGCTGTAAATCTTGGTTGGAGTGTTGTAAAGTATTTATCACAGAGCGTTGTGCTGCGAGTCTGATGTTGAACTAATAATTACACTGCAGCAGACGAGGGCGGGTTCAAACCAGCCTGAGCGCACCACAACAAAACTGTGTGATGGTGCAGGGGTTTAGAGCTGCAGCGGGTTTTTCCAAAAAGTCAGCTGGTCTATGTGGAAGTGTGTGTGTGTGTGTGTGTGTGTGTGTGTGTGTG